TTTAGGGCAGTGCAGGCAGCAGGGTTTAGGGTTGTTCCAGCAGGATTTAGGGTTGTTCCAGCAGGATTTTGGGGCTGTTCCAGCAGGATTTAGGGCNTTTTGGGCGCTGAGCGGGGTCCAGCAGAGCAGCGGTGCCGGATGCGGTCGCGCTCTACGGGTCAGAGGCACCGAGCACACGAGGTTTCATGACACCTCCCCTCTGTCAGCGGCCTCATTTGAATAGATTGGGGTGTTTCTCTGCTGTTCTGCAGCTTTTTAGCTCCTGCACCCCTCCATTAATTCCCCATCTTGCAGCAGCTTCGTCCCAAAATTCAGCTGAGCTTCCCTGGGCCGAGCGGTGCTGAGGGAGCTGCGCCCAGCTCAACTCAGCTGCCACCCAAAACGAGCTCTGGGTGCTTCCAAGCAAACATTTCCCACAGGGATGGAGCATTTTACACCACCTGGCTCCTTGTCTGCTGGGGGTGGATGGGCCTGCACTCTGGAAAATGTGCAGCAGCCTGGCACATCCCATCCCAAGAGTTCCCAGGAGGTTTGGGGAGTGCTGGGCTGATGGTTCTTAGGAACTGAACTCTGGGCTTTGTAGCTCTGGAAGGGCCCTGCAGCAGCCCAGCCTCGTCCCTGGCTAAAAGGAACAAAAAATTCCCTTTTTTCCAAGGTCCCTGACTCATTGGGATGGCTCCTGCTGGCCTTTGAACATCACCAGCCCACAGCAATCCTGTCCCAGGGATAAAACATCCCAAAGAATCACCCTGGATAACCTAAAAGCAAAGAGAAGATCTCAAAAAGCATCACCTACCCCTGGAGCTGCATCACAACTTCCCAAATTCCCCTTCATCCCTGGGGCTGCTCCCACCATCTGTCAGCTCCATCATCTGATGTTGGTCCTGCTCTCCTCACAGCTGCTGAGTCCCAGGTAAATATTTTGGGGTTTATTTAACTGAAACTTGCTCGTTTGTTTGATTTTTTTCAGGTGAGAGTTTGCTGCTGCAGCTCTTTCAAGTGCTCGGTGGTGGATAAGCAGATTAACAGGTGGGAGAAGTGTCTGATAAAGGGAAGAAAAAAGAGTTTTTTAGAAAACCCTGCTGGGGCACGACGTGAATCAGTCAGGGCAGTGGCTCCACTAAAGGAAATGTGTAAAAAGCAACACAGATAACACATTTTTAGCCTGAGAACAGTTTTTTTTTTTTTAAAGGAGGAAAATGCTTCACACAGAGCTGGTGAAAGTTACTTTTTCCACCCAAGGGGCAAAAACTGTTTCTGATGTACCTGAGGGCAGGTGTGTGGTTCTGGAGGGGTGGGACACAGCTGGGGACAGCCCTGCCTGGCAGAGGCCATTCCTTTGCTGCCAGACTGGAATATTCCACGAGCTGGGGTCACCTTTCCTCACTTTCTCCAGAGCAGCACAGCCAGGCCCTGCCAAGGGACACCAAGGCTTGGAAATGGAGCAACTCTTCCCTTTGCATTCCACACATTGAGGAATATGTATGGAACAAAGCCTTTTGCACCCAATTTTTCTGTGCAAATCCAGCCCAGTTGCTCCCAAAACATAGAGGAAAAAAAAACAAACCAACACTTTGTTCTACTTGAAATAAAAATTTTGAAGTTCCCCTAAGAGTTGAGTTTTTAAAATTGCTTCTAAAATAACTCAAAAGTCAAAATAGATTTGCTTAGCTGCAAAAATTTCTAAATGAAAGGTCTGGCTTCATTATGACTTTCATCTTCCCATTTTAATGCTGAATCCGCTGCCAGGAGTTTGCAGATTATGATGATCCAATTGGGGAATCTTTTCCACAAAATAAACTATTTCACTTAAAGTGTTTGGTGTGTCTGTGCTGCTGCTCACCCTCACGTTTATCTCCAAAGCCCAGTGACCCTTCGGGCTGGGTTTTCTGATAGGATTTTCGGGTTATAAACCATGTCTGGAACAATCCATTTGCTGTTTTCGGCTGATCTGGCACTTGCTGCAGCTGCTTTTGTTTTAGGAAGTTTCTTTCTAATCCATGAATATGTGATTAGGACAAGGAAGGAGGCTGCTACATTAAACTGCATCTCAAAAGGGGAAATAGAGGATAAATTTGTATAAAAGCCACTCGGTAAAAAAAAAAAATATTTCAGCATGGGGGAATGCAGGGAATTTTCATTTGTTTTGGAGAAGCAGCTGCGTTTGCCATCGGCATCAACTGTGCCGTGCCCAATGTTTTCCTGCTCACATCGAGAAATATTTGATGGATTTTTTTTTAAAGCTTAATCTTCCTGCAAAGCTGGGGAGAAGAGAGGCCTGGCAGCATCTCCGGGGATGGGGACACAAGATCCTGGTGACAGCAGGACGTGACTCAGCTGTCCCCAGCCACCCTCGGTACCTGTGCCTCACAGATGAGGACTTTAATTTCCTGGGCGAGGGCTTTAATTAGATAAAATTTAATTAGATAAAACGGGCTCGCTGGGACAAACAAAAAATTGAATAGCACGGTGCTAAACCCTGTTAATCAGGGGAGTGGGGCTCGCTGAGCAAAACTCCCTTTAGCACCCACCGTGGGTGATTTTAGTGCCAAAACCACGGAAAATCAGGACAAAAATGCATCATCCCAGGCCTGGGAGATGGTGGCAGCAGGAAAACCATCCCCTGCCCCCACTCCCTTCCCCCCATGTCTGAAGGCTTCGTTTGTTCATCAGCATTTTCTGTTTGCACTCGCAGAGGCTTTAATGAGACTGTCCTGGGTTAAACAAAACTCACAGAGCCCATTAGTGCCTGCAAAGCCCCAGGGGCCAGGCTCCCATGGGAAGCTGCTCCTTCCCTGCCTTTGGAAGGGAAAGTTGAGGATTCCCCAGCCGTTCATCACCGCTAATTAGTCTTTGACTTTTAAAATTAAGTCGGTGGCTGATGGTGCAAACGCATCCCCCTCCTGCACCTCCCTGCAGCTGCTGGGGTTTGGGGCTGGGGTTGTGGGGTGAAGGAGAAGGGAAATGTTCCCCTAAAA